AGAATATTCTCCGATGACTATTCTTATAACTAAAGCCTGGTCTACATAAATGAATGTTTCACTAGAATGAATTATTGAGGAAATGTTACCGAGTCAAAGGAAATGCATTTTCTTTTTGATTTTTGATAATTTAGTGTTAAGTCTGCAGGTGTCTTCCAGACCCCAGCTTAACAGTCAAAAGTGCTTACACATTAGTGTGCCATTAATATTATTTCACAACTTATTATGTATTTATTTTGTGCAAATTAAATAAATAATAAAGTGCAGTTAGCACTTTACATGTGCTAACTGATGTTATTTTTATACATCTTTATAGGACATTTGATCATCCATATCACATGGAGGAAATCAAGGTATGAGAGAGTTGAGGCCACACCACTAGAAAGTATCATCAGTCTTAGAGCTGAGCCACTGCCACCAAAGTAGAGCTGCTTCTAAATAAAAGTGGATTCATATAGAAAAGACCCAAAGTGCAAGGCTGGAGCAATCATTCCCTGGCCAATATCTGTGGAAACTCACTAATTTTTCTGGGGCATATGAACAGCCACTCCTGGAAACCCTGTGTTTAACTCACAGTGGGACAGAGATCTAGTCCACTGGCTAGGATCAACATGGAGTGAGGTCTTTCAGAGTGGTTGGTCTGGGAAACCCAAAGAGTCCTGGGCCAAGTTTAGATCTGCAGGGAGAGCTCTTCTCATGCACAGAGTATAACCTGGGAGATGTGGCAGCTGGTAGAAAGGGGTAAGAAAAGGATGTCTCCTTAGCCCAGGTAGCAGGAGGGCTCCGTGCTTTGTGGAGGGTCTAGTGGCTCTGGTACCTGGCCACTAGCCTGTGGCTATTTATGTTTAATTAAAATTTAATTAAGAATTGAGCTCCTTAATCACACCAGCACACTTCTGGTGCTCAGTAGTTGTTGGTGGCCCTGGCTACCATATTGGACAGTGCAGGTCAAAAATACCTTTGTCCTCATGAGAGGTCTTTTGGAACCCTGATTTAGAAGCAGGAGTTTGGCTGGGGAAAACAGAAGTAAAGTGGAGATGAACACTTGTCCACTTCAATTTAGGTTATGCACGGGAATGTCCGAGTAGACATCAGACAGGAAACTGGGAGTTGTTTCACGGTGCACCTGCAGAGAAGGAGAGGAGGATGCCCATCAGGGGCTGAAACTTAGGTTGTGAGGAATGCCCACCACCATCCCCAAGGTCTCCCCTGTGCCCTTTACAAGAAACCCCACCATTTGAGATGACCCAAGTCCATGGCTTGCTCCCTGAGGCCTCGGAGCTCAGCTGCCCAGGAACACCTGCCTTGGTACCAGCTAGGTAAAGGCACCACAGAGAGGAAAAGCATACATGCGGCGGCAGAGTGGGTAGAGTGGAGGGGCTGTTGATAACTGTCAGGAAAGGGTTTAAGTGGTGGCTGCTAAGCCTTGAGGGAGCAGAAAGTCAAGGAGAGATTTGGGCAGGGAACAGTTGAATAGGAAAGCTGAGGGGCAGCTCCCCTAAGAGGGCTAAATTCCTTTGGGTTTGAGCTCTAAAGAGTCAGGCTCAGTTTTTTTTTTTTACTTCTCTGCTCCATAGGATCTTTTGTGTGTGTGTGTGTGTGTGTACATTTTAAGTGTACAGTATAATGACAGTCATCATTGGAAATTTGTACCTTTACATAATCTATCTTGGTTCTTATTTTTTTCCCCATTGCCCTACCCTCCTTTCAATCCCTCCACGCCTCCTATTTACAAAGACTTTGTTTCCGTTTTTTCATTTTCTCTCTTCTCCATAGGATCTTTGCTTGCCTTGTAAACATATACTATGTTAGACATATCTCCAGACATCTCAGTCCCTTAGAGATGCTCTCCACACCCTGCCAAGTCGGTGCAAGCAGTTCAGAAGTTCTCCCAGTCAGTCCAGCGCTAGGATATCCCTTCTGTCCTTTGCAGAAACTCACAAGTGTGTCAGCCCACCTTGCACCTGAGAATACAGAAAGCTACAGACAGCAGCTGCCCAAAGCCCCACCTGTGCCCCACCTGGTCTTAATTCAGACATCAGTGAAGGTCTGCTTGACTACGTTAGATGTGTTCCCACCTCTCTGTGGGAACCACGGTGTTTGCTTGCTATTTTTGTGAATATTAGAACCTTGTCTCTTAGCCTGACTGCGGTCAAAGTGTAAATGAGTGCACATTCATTCAGTCTATCAGAGGGAGTGAGATTTTGTTATTTATTCTTCCATGAAGTCCCTTGCTGTCTATCACACTGCCAGATATACTTATTCAATGGAATTATCACTGTCATTTAAAAATAAAAAGAACAATGTCCTGACTTTATGGGAAGAGCAGTGACTGAATATCAACTCATTTTCCCCCTCCTCACTGTTCTTTCTCTGGGCTTAGTATTTTTAAAGTTTTTTCATGGAAGTTTTCAAACATAGACAAAAAGTGTGACTATTACAAAAAGTGAGCTCTCCTGACCCATCACGAGCTGCAACAGTCAGCAACACAAGCCCAGTCCCAGTTTAACTCTGTCCCCCTGCTGTGTGTCTGTCAGTAAAGCTCAGATGTTTTACTAAGATGTTTAATGTCATAAAAGCCATCTTCTTAGTGTGTGATGCAGTAATTTTTAGTAAATTGACAGTTGTGTAACCATTGTGGTAACCCAATTTTAGAACATTTCTATCACCCTCAGAAACCCCTCGTGCCCATTTCCAGTCACAGAATGGAGACACAGATCCTTTGCTGTGTTTCATCCCATCTACAAACATAGCATCAGGTGTCTAAATTCACCGGCCTGTCCTTTCCTAACACAGCAGTACCTGCTCCCGAAGTGCCTCTTCTTAGGCAACCCAGCTCTGCAGATACCCACAGAGCCTGAGGAAGCAATTACAGAAGGGCCGAAGCTCAGCCCACTGGCCTTTATTCGTGTCGAGGGGTGCTGTTGATAATTCACTTTTACCCCAAATTGGGGCTCACCTATACTGTTGAAGGCCTTCTGTGTGCTGGGCACTGGGATGCAGTGGATTCATTGTGGACCCTGCTCTGTGCACAACAAGGTCAAACTGCACACAACTTTTCTCAGACTAAAGCATTGCTCTGGCCTGATCTACACCTGAATGGGTTGGGTTGGGCAGCGGGTGTCACACAGCTTTCCTGGTGACCTCTGGCTCTGGGTGAAAAGCCCCTGCTTGTTTCAGGATGGACAGGAGCAGAGTGGTCTCAGCCACATGTTAAAGGGAGGTCTGGCCCCAGAGCAGTGGCACCCGTCCCTCCTGCAGACAGAAAGTGGGGGGCCAGAATGGGGCCCACCTCAGCCTGGACGTGAAAGGCCTACAGAAAATGAATGTACAATTGCATTCATTCATTCACTCATTTGTTCATTCAACAAAAAGCCCAGACACTCTTGGAGAATCTTGGCACTGGGAAAATAACAAACCGGAGTAAAGCCCCCATCCGCATGTTACTTATATTCAGGAAATAGCAGACAGTGAACCAATAGATAAATAAAATACACATTTTGCTGAGCAATAATAAAGGATCTGAAGAAGACTGAGTGAAGGCATGGCATCTTCAAAGGATAAATATCATTTTAAAAAGCAGAATATAAAGCTATATGTATAGTGCAATCCGACTTTTAAGAAGGAAAAACAATGCTTATGTGCTTAAAACACAAAATATGTGGAAACAAGTATTCCAAATGCTGCTGAGAAGCAGCATTATGAGTAATTTTTAATCAATGAGGAAAAAAATTTTAAAAAATAAAGTTAACATTATAAAACTGAAAAAATGAGTAATTTTTATTTGCATAAGAGGCATTTACACGAATGTATTTTCTATAATGAACAAGTATTGACTGGGTAATTAGCTTAACACTTTTTTAAACAGGCTTCTAGACATGGACAGTGTTCCCAAGAGGCTCCCCTCTCTGAGTTGGAGGCCCAAGGCTCCAGTTCCAGCAGGAGGGAGTCTGAGGCAGGGTTACACCGCAGACTTCCCTGCTGTCATTCCAAGACCCAGGACTGTTCAGTGTTCTCTTCCAATCAGGACAGGTCAGCATTTAATTCCTTGATGAAACAAGACAGAACCCAGAGAAGGATCTGAGGAGAAACCAGTGGGCTCTGCAAGCAGAACGGCATTGCAGGGGTAGCCCAGGGTCCAGTCCTGATTCCTCAACCCGGCTGTGTGACTGTGGGCAACTTACTGAACCTCTCAGAAACTTGGTGTCTTCATAAAAGGCAAATGACAATAGTACTTACCTCCCAGGACTCTTACGGTGATGAACCTACTTAAAAATTGTAAAGTGGGGTAAAAGTACTTAAGTACTAAGTACTAAAGTACTAGTAGCCGCTGTCGGTTGTGGAGCTCCAGTCATGGACAAACAAGGAAACATCAGTGACTGTGACAGAGAAGCCGTGGCAGAAAGGGCTCCTTGTGGGAAGTGAGAAGTGGTGGCCGTGGGACTGGACATGACCGTGTCTCTGGCCATGCCCTTGCAGCCTTTTCTTGGGCCCTGACCCTTTGGTCCCTTCTCCTCTTCCCTTTAAACTCTGTGATCACTTCTCCCCCGACGCCAGCGCTCTGGCTGGTGTCACTGAAGGCGGGCTGTGAGTAGCAGTGCAGTTTGGATTTCCATGGAGCACAGGCTGGGAAAGTTCCTGAATTTAAAGAAACTGTGGAGGGCTTAATGGGTTTGGGTCTGATTCCCTGTAACACCTTCAGATGCCACCTTGTCACGCTCCTGCACAATGTGTGCTTACTGACGGGAGGAGACGCTTCTCCTGCGTCTGGTACACAGACCAGCCTCTCAGGGTATCCCTCGGAGTGCACTCGAGCAGCCGTGTCTTGGGTGTCGGGTAGACCTGGACCTGCTTCTGGGCTGTACCTGCCATCTGTGTGAGCTGCTATAGGCAACTGGCCCATGCTTGGTCCCAGGGCCCGGGGCCACCTGGCCATGTGTGCTGCATGAGGGTTCAGTGAGCCAGCATCAAGCTGCCAGGACCTCACCGGTGTGCAGTACATGGCGCCTCTGCTGCTCCTCCTGACTTCTCACCTCATGAGGCTCGCAACCTGGGCCTCAGCAGCTCCTGCCCTGCCTTAGCTAGTTCCTCCTTCACCCTTCGGGGGCTCTGTCGCATCGACCCAGACATCTTCCTCACCCGTTCACTCTATCCTGTTCTCCTCTGCTGACACACATCAAGTAGCCGAGTCTACACTGGGTACCCCTGGAAGCAGCCTCCATGCAGGGGCCATCACTGCCCTGGGAACAAGGAGTGTAGTGCTGGACAGAAGATGCTACATCCAAACTGCCAGGGCCCCAGTCCTGGCTCCCAGCATAGAAGTGTGTGCTTTCTGCGGATCACTTCATGTTTCTGAGCCTGTTCATCCCTACCTCCTAGTTTCTTGTGAAGATAGAATGGGCAGTAATGCAGAGCTTGGTGCAGGGTGAGCAGAATCAACCTTTGCTCTGCTTGTCATCCCAGGAGTCAAGCTGATAACAAGCAGGTGTCCTTTTCTCTGAGGGTCCCGTGGCATCTCCACATTGCCCAGCTGCCCTTGGGGCTTTCTGATGGCCCACTCCTCAAGGAACCTCCCCGAGGAGACTGTGGTTCCACAGCCCTGTGGTTTCACTCTGTGCCTGCACAAAGGATTCCCATGATAATGGCAGGAGTGAGCAGCATGGGATGCTCTTTTTCATTGTCTTCAAATTCAGTCATCCACTAAGGAATCTGAGAAATTTGGTTACATTCGGAAGAGAAGCTAGAGAGAAACCATTGCTTCTTGGCAAACAAAAACTTCTGACTTGCCTTTGGTGCAGCCTAAGTACTAAACCACCAAATCTGTCACATAACAAATGGAGTGGGGGTGTCTCACCACTTCCGGTGTAATGACAATTTTATAAGCAGAGCTTTCCATCCTTCATCCTAAATGTGTTCCTGATGACCTTCACTGGTGAAGCACAGCTGTGATGCAAGTGACATGATTGTTGCAGGGCTGTTCCAGGCTGCGTCTGTTGTAGGAAGTTGGTTGGAGATAAGAAGAATGTGGCCCAGCCTGAGTTACTCACAAAATGTTCTGGTTCCATCACTGGCTAAGAATCTGAAAGCCCTCCTTCCATCGAACCCGCGGCTTTATGTTCTTCCTGGCGAGCCTGAATGCCAGACCTCAGGGGGCAGCTGAGGACATCCTGCCATTTTAAAGATGTTCAGACAGGAGTCTCCAAGTCATTCGTCCCTTTGTACACGCTAGGCACTGTGCCAGTTCCCTAAGTGATGGAGGCCAGCAAGGGAGGGAGACGAGTTTTTAAAATGCAGTAGAATTGGGCCAGAGATTTAACTCAGTGGTTCCGCCACCTACCTCGCAAGCGCAAGGTCCTGAGTTCGATCCCCAGTACCAAAAAAAAATGCGAGAGAGTTTTGTGGAGCTGTCGCAGAGGATGACAGGATGGCCCAGCAACCATTCATTCACCAGGTGTTGAACTGAGTGCTTTCTACATGCAGGGCACAGAGAGCATATACTAGTTACAGGGTTTACATTTTAGGGCTTGTAGATATTTTAAAGTTAGTGATGATTGCTCAGTGGGCAGTGGGTTGTTAGAAATGTTTCAAACCATGAGGGAAGGATAGGCTGTATGATAAATAACGTTGGGACAATCAGTCGACTAACCGGATTAAGTTAGAACTGCGTTGTGTGCCCTAGGTCATGCCATCCACAAAATATATTCCAGATGCTCAAAGAGCTAAAAGTTATATATACAGTGGGCCATCCTACCGATGGTCCCAAGTCCAGGGATTCGACTAACAATGGATTGAAAATGCTTGGGAAAAAATTGTATCTATACCAAGCATGTACAAACTTTCTTGTCATTATTCATTAGACAACACCATGTAACAACTAGTATATAGCATTTATGTTGTATTAGATACTTAGAGGTTATTTAAAGGAGACAGGAGGATATATATACACAAAAACCATACCACTCTGGGTGACGTACTTGAGCACCCTCGGAATGTGGTATATGGGGGAAGGGCCTGGAAGCAAACCACCGTGGATACTGAGGGATAAATGTGCTTTTTTCAAAGGCAGTAACTTTATTACTAATGTAGAATACTTTTTAAAAAATAATCTTGAGGTGGAGAACAAGAAATAAAACTGGAAGATACTTAAAAATTGGTTCATAGGCCTGCACGTATGAAAAAATTCAACTTAGTTAAAAGACTAAAAGGGAAATGAGAGATTGAGAGAATATATTTGCAATGTCTGTAATGGATAATAAGCTAATAGAATAAGTAGAGTTCATCAAATCCATAATAAAAATACGAACAGTAGAAAAACAGGCCAAGAACACGAGCAGGCAGTAACCAATAAACATGAAAGGACATCCATCCCACTAGTAATTGGGGAAATGAAAACAAAATAAGATATTTCTGGTCTTGCTCAATACTGATGATGCCCATAATCTCTGTTGGCAAGCTTTGCCAAGTAGGGAAATGCAGGTGGTGTTTGGATAGCATTTTAGCAGCAACAAAATCTTAAACGTGCATATGCTTTCACTCAGTAATTTCACTTCTAGGAATCACTCAGAAATATACCATGCAAACAAGAATGCCCTATTCTTTGCAGGATTGTTTGTACAAGTAAAAAACTGGGTACGTGCTAAATGTTCAGTAAAAAACCAGTTAGGCCCTGGTGCCCAGCCAGAGGAAGTCTTGCTCATTCCCTACTTGCAACAACCAAAACTGTCTCCAGGCATTGCACAAAGACTTTTATATGATGATGATGTAGTGGAATCTTTAACAGAGAGGCCAGAGTTAATTTCCTTGGAACCAGAGCAGAATTCAGCCAGAGTGAGGAACTATCAAATTCTTCTTCCTGCCTGCCAACTGCCAAGCCAAGCCATGTATGGGAGTGTAGTGTTCAGCCACCAGATCATTGTCCATGTCTCTCAACTTCTTTTGAGCAAGTCTGGCTTTCATCTCCTGTGCTCTTCCAGAAAAGCCTCTAAGCACTCGGACCTTTGATGTTGGCTTTCATCAGTTATTTCCCCTCTGCGTGCCTGGGTCTTGTCGAAACACCATCCCAAGGTCAGGGCTGGGAGGGTGGAGCTGAGTGACACCAGCATCCAGCCCAGGGCTCTCAGGACAAGGGTTCAGGTAACATCTTCAGCCAGACACAGGACACACTCAGTGGCTCAGACTTAGCCATGGCAGGAAGTCTCAGGACTGCTGAGGGACTGTTCCCAGCCTCAGGCTGCATGCAAGTTATGTGTGACGGGGTGTCTGTGACCACGTCAGCCTCTTCGGCCCACTCAGAGAGGGCTTCTCCAGAAAACTGCCTCTTGGGATTTTCCCAGAAATTTGTAAAGTTTAAGCCTCAAAACTCCATTTCTTACTGGAGAGACCCTCACCCAGCTAAGAGCCCAGGCAAGCACACAGCCCTCTGACTGAGTGTCCACTTGAGCATGGACCTCAGGACCATTCATCTCTTGTGTCATTTCAACTTGCTTCATCTCCTGTGAAACTGAAGTCCACGCTGCCTTCACCAAAGGACGTCTTCGAGTAATCATTTGGATACAGAGGAGTCAGGTAGTAGGCGGGTGGAGGGAGGGTGGAGGGCTCTAATCTTAAGTGACTCCAGAGTGTCAGAGCCAGTGGGGGACCCTTGCTTTGAGATGAGGGCTCTTGTTGCTTTACCTTTAAATCCCTGGACATCTGTGTTAGATATTTCATTTTCAACTTTCATGGTAGTTGAATATAAAAGAACAAAACTGTGTGGGGAGCTGGACGGCACCTTAAGAAACCAGCTAGTCCTTTGGAAGCATCAGGTCGCGTCTCTCCATAGAAGCACCTCTGTCTTCCAGACAGCCTCCCCACGTCAGCCTCCCCGTCAGACCAGCACAGAGCCGCCTCAGCTGGCATCTTTACTCAGGAAGGCTTGTAGATTCACTTTTTTTTTTTTTCCCTTCAGCACTGGGGATTGAACCATGGCCGGAAAGCTCAGGTCTGCTGAGGGACTGTTCCCAGCCACAGGCTACAAGTGATGTAGGGCTTTTGCACTGATCTACATCCTTAGGCCTTTTTATTTTTTAATTTCAAACAAGGTCTTACTAAGCTCCCCAGGCAGAACATGAACTTGCAGTCCTCCTGCATCAGCCTCCCAGAGTGCTGAGATCACAGCCGTACGCCACCCCCACCCCCAGCTTGGGTTCCCTTTTCTAACGGGCTGAGCAGGAGGAGGGAAAGGTGAAGCCTTTTCTTCACCAGTGTCTTGTTCTTTCTTTCATCTGCTTTGCCTTTCCAGCTGTTGCTCCTTGACTGCTGATCTAAATGATTCAGGGTCCCCAGCACTTGCAGAAGTTACTTGCTGGCCTTGGAATTCCTGAAAAATTTGGTGTTAGTGCACACACGAGTGTGTGTGTGTGTGTGTGCTTGTGCACTAGCTAAGATGCTAACTGCTTAAAGTTGGGATGAGTGAATCCCTGGGCAAAAGGAAGCTTTTAGGAGGATGCCCACGCACACACTGTATGCCAAGTTCTGAAAGAGGCTTTCCTTAAGAACACTGCATGGGGTCTGGGGATTTAGCTCAGTGGTTCTGGCGCCTGCCTCACAAGTGCAAGGACCTGAGTTCGATCCCTGGTACCAAAAAAAAAAAAAGAACAGTGCATAGTAGGTGGCCTTTGTCCAAGTGCACAGAATTCAGGAAGCCTTTGTTCAGAAGCAGGAGTCCCAGAGAGGGTTTGTGACACAGTAAGTACCTCCTGCTGCATAGTACTCAGGTCTGGATGCTCAGAGGGACAAGATCTGCCCAGGCCCCTTTTGTTTTCTGGCAAACTTCCACATCCATGACATTATAAAAAAGAGCTGGCTGTGTCATTCATGAAGAATTATAAAAATTGTTTTAATCTTTGCATGAAATTAGGTGCAAAATTGCCTCTCTACTTAGGCATCATACTGCATAATCACCAATTATCTGCTTTAAGACAGGCCGGATAAAAGATAGCCCAGAACACAAGGATGTCATTGGAGGGCTGGGTAGACCCACGGATCTCCCCGAATGGAGGAGGGCACTCTTGAGAGAGGCAAAGTCTGCCTTCATGGCCTTAAGTTAGCCCCAGGTGTGAGTCATTGTATCAGCACGGCTGGCTGCTTGCAGAGGAACTGAAAGATGAAACTCTTCCCGCTGCTGTTAGCAAAGGGGAATACGCAAATGTCCAGGGTCCCCTGTGTCAGAGACACACACTTCTGTTCTGATCTGTTAAACACAGCACCCTTCATGCCCGCTCCAAGCGTTGAGCCAAAAGTCCTTTTTTTTTTTTCCTGTTTTACCTCTTAGAACCTTGATAGAGTGAGAAATAAGGGGCTGCAGAAAATAGAAGCATTTTCATCATTAACCACTTTAGATTCATTTTATGATTTGATTCTCATTGCAGACTGACATTTTCTTTTGCAGTGTGTTTCAACAGCAGTACAGTAGTTTAGGGGCAAGAATCTTTTATTTTGGGAGCTATCATGCACATTGTGAGGTTTTTAGCAGAACCACTGGCATCAATTAAATACTGGTAACATACCTCCCCTCAGCTGTGGCAAACAAAAATGCATCCAGACATTGCCGAATATCTCTTAAAATGCAAAATCACACACACATACAACACCCTTTGAGAACTGCCATCCTAAAGGAAAGAGCCAATGTGAGATAATATTTGTCCTAAATCCACTGTGCTTTTAAGGTAGATCCTATGGCTTTGTATACATTCAACACCTGTGATTTGGTCCATTGCCTATGTGCTGTGGGTGGGGCTTTGTCCTTTTTGAACGACCTTCAAAAAAACCTTGAAATCCTCTCTTATGAAGTCTCTCTCCCATCATATTCATATGTTGCCAATATTATGTATCTGACCTGTTTATTCAATGATTGGTCATTAATTCTGCTCATGAATCTGTTCATTTGTGTAGCAGTATTTCCTAGGGAGCTCTCACCATGCGCCCCAGGGGTGAGCAAGCATGATCTCCACCAGGATTCTATATCCACCATTCTCTCCTTGCTCTGTGATGAGGGCTTACATTGGAGAAGAAAGAGTTTCTGTCTCACATGGAGGAACATGGTCCCCAGAGTCAGGCAGACCAGAATTCAGTTACATCTCTATGCTTACAAGTTGGGTAGGGTTGGACTAATTATTGAATCTGTGTGCCTCAGGCTGCTATATGAAAACAGGGATGATTTTGTCTTCCTAGCAAGAGTTCTACAAGGCCTTGGTGAGATCATCTACACCACATATCACTAAACAGGGCAACTTACTGCCCGCCGACTGGTAGGCCCTAATGAATGAATTGCTGTGTAGATCTAAAGCAGATGAGTATTGGCAACCTCATATAGCTCAGCCCAGTAGGTAACCCCACACTGCCCTCTGCTCTTTGCTCTGAAGTCCAGCAAGTAAATGGAATGGTTCTGCTTTGTTGTTTTCCTGCATTCCTGCTCTTTGAGAAGGTCCCCTGCCAGCACAGAATAGCAAACTTCACAGAGGACTGAGTTCACGCCAGCATGTGTTTCAAAGCATGGAGTATGTGAAATCGCACTCTTCCCACTTTCCAGTCTGAATTGTAGCAGTTTGTCGATTCTTGCCTGCCGGGAGGACACTTGGTTGGCTTTCTGGTGCTTGTTCCCCAGGCACCCGTCTTGAAAAGGTGTTTCTCTGATATCTCTGTGTTTACGTCTCAGGTCACTCTGCTGATTGCCTTCATCTGTGTGCGGAGCTCTCTGTGGACTGACTACAGTGCCTACAGCTTCTTTGAAGTGGTCACCATTTGTGACTTGATAATGATCCTCATCTTTTACCTGGTCCACCTGTTCCGCTTCTACCGCGTACTCACCTGCATCAGCTGGCCCCTGTCGGTAAGAGACTCGGCCTGCTCTTCGCAGGCAGAAGCCAGAGCACTGGCTGGACACCGGACCAGTGGAGTCCCTCCCCTCTGCTGTCTCTTTCGGAGCCATCCTCTGCTGCACTGGCCCTCCAGGTCCGCCTGCTCTCCTGCTGGCTTCCACGGCTTGCCCGCCGGCTAGCTACAAGAAGCTGTGGTTCTTGCCTCAGTGCTTATTTTCTCAAATGATAGAGAATGGACTGGGGTATGAGTGGGAGAAGGAAATGGAAGAGCTTGAACAGATGGTGGGCATTTAGACTGAGCGAGGCTGACTGACACCACGTGGAGGCTGATAAGGGGTGGCCAGGGCTGACGAGACAGATCAGAAGTTGCCAAGTTGTTTCTTTTCACCGCATTATCCTCCCCACACGTATTATTTTCTTAAAAGCTTTATTCATGTACCAATCACAGGCCATGACACTCACGCATTTGAAGTTTCCAATTCAAAAGGCTTCAGTATGTTTCCAGAGTTATGCACGCGTCACTGTCCCTTTTGCAACACTTCTATCATCCTACACAGAGATTTCGTCCCCTTCAGCTGTCACCTGCCACCTTTCATCTGTCCCGGCCCTAGGCAACCACTAATCTACTTTGTGTCTCTAAAATTTTCCCACTTTGGACATTTCGTGGAAGTGGAATCATATGCAGTCTTTTGGATTCTTTGACTTAACCGAATGTTTTTATGGTCTATCCGTGGGTGGCACATATCATCCGTACTTCATTCCTTTTCATAACCAAACAATACTCCTTCGTGTGGTTATACCACATTCTGTTTTCGTTCATTGGTAGACATTTGGGTTGTTTTCACTGTGTGGCTATGATGAATAATGCCACTATGAACATTCATGGATAAGTGCTTGTGTGGACATGTTTTCATTTTCCTTGGGTATATATCTAAGGGAATTATTGGGTCGTATGGTAACCTTATGTTTAATTGCTTGAGGAACTGCACGACCATGAGCCACAGTGGCTACGCCATTTGATATTCCTCTTAGTGTATGAGGGTCGAAGTTTCTCCACTTCCTTGCCAACGCTTATTGTTATCTGAATTTCTGGTCCTAACATTTTAGGGAGTGTTCAGTGGTATCACATTGGTTTTGATTTGCATATCTCTGAAGACTAAAGGTGTCAGTGATCATTTCATGTGCCTTTTAATCATTTGTATAGTTTCTTTAAAGAATATGTTCATGTCTTTGCCCATTTTCTAATTAAGTTGTCTTTTTATTACCAAATTGCAAGTTTTTTATATATTCAAGTTAAATGTCTGTTATCCTATATATGACTTGAAAATATTTTATCCCGTTCTTTTTCATTGTTTTTCACTTACAAGTTTTAAATTTTGATAGATCCAATTGATCTGATTTTTTTTTTTTTTTTTGCTCATGATTTTGGAATCTAAGATTTACTTCTATGATTTCATCTAAGGATTTTATAGTTGTAGCTTGTACTTTAGGTTTTTGACCCTGTCTGTGTTCTTTTTGGTTTTGCTCCTCTCCCTGCCGTACTTGGGTTCAAACTCAGGACCTTGCTGCTGAGCTACATCCCCTGCCCCAATTTCTGTTATTTTTGTACATGGCACGAGGTAAGGTGACGACATCATGTTGATGTAGAGAGTGAGCAGACAGCAGCATCTGTTGAACACTCAGTACTTTCCCCTCTGAGTGGTCTTGACCCCATTGTCAAAAACCAGCTGTCCATAAATGCATGGGTTTATTTCTGACTCTTAGTTCTGTTTTTTTGATCTGTATGTCTACAGTTATGCCAAAACCACGCTACCTTTATTACTGTAGTTTTGTATTAAGTTGTAAAATTAGGAAATGTGACTCTTCCCAGTTTGTTCTTTTCCAGGATTGAGTCATTGCAATTCTTTGTGAATTTTAGAATTAGCTTTTGAATTTTTGTAAAGAAATCAGCTGGGATTCTAATAGAAATTGCCTGAATATGTAGATCTGGGAAGTACTGCCATCCTAGCAGTATTTTCTGATGATCTGTGAACATGAGAGGTTTCTCCATTTATTCTTCTTTCATTTTTTTCAAGGATATTTTGTACTTTTCAGAATATTTTATTCTTTTTGATGCTATTTCAAATGGAATTTTTTTTCATTTTTCAGATTGTTCATTTCAAGTAGATAGGAATACAGTTGATTTCTGTATATTGATTTGTCTCCTGAATCTTAGCAAATTCCTGTATTTATTCTAAGAGATTTTTAGTGGCATCCTTAGGGTTTCCTATATAGAAAATCATGTCATCCACAAAGAGAGATAATTTTACTTCTTCCAGCCTAATCTGGATAGCTTTTCTTTCATTACCTTGCCAGATTGCAAGAAATTAGTTGAATAAAATAATTGAATGTTGAATAGCAGGAGCAGACATCGTTATCTCTTTCCCAGTCTTAGAAGACAGAAGTCCTCCATTTTTCATCATTAGTATGATATCAGGTGTGAGTTTTTACAGCTATTCTTTTTTTTTTTTTTTTTTTTTG